CGAAAGTGTGTGCGTTGCCAATTGATTAACGTTAATCATTCCGTTATCTATATTTCTGAAATCTGGACATTTCATATTCATTTATGCTTATTCTTATAATTTGCTTGTTTTGTTTTTGACAATTGTATACCTATATATACTGACCAGCTAAAAAAAAACCGGTCACTTCAAATATTTCGCAAAATCGCTTTAAAATTATTAAGTACATATTTAGTGATTGTTATTTTATTTATTAGAGAACTATTCACTGTAGACACAGGATGTACAAATTAGCTGAAAAATGAGGCAAATAAATAAAATCACTAGTTAAAACGTAAATTGTAAAGTGGTTTTGCGAATATTTCAGGATGGCAGTTTTTTTTTGGCCGGTCAGTGTATACATATATGATATGTGTCAAATATTAGGTAGCTGTATTTAATTCAAATTTCGAAACAACTCCATTGTTTCAAGGTGGGGGGTTATGTGACAGCTACTGACCGGGGGGGTGTTTGTTTTTACCCCTCCGCCTTCACGAGCTAGTCGTGCTACCGCCGCGCCGGCCTTAAATGGGGGAGTTTGCCTGTACCCTTCAGACAATAAACACGCAAAATTTATCTCGCATTCCGCTGCCCGTAATTATCCACCGTATAATACATGTATAGCATTCAACTTATCCATCATTAATTCGTATATCAATTCTAAAACGTACAATCTGCTTCAAGTTATTTGATAATGAATCCTGGCACGTATTTCAAATACACTTCGATGTGTCTATCTACATAATCTACCAAGAATTTTTCCGCGACCTGTTTTTTGTACTTACATCTAGAGAAATTCCTTCTCGGAGCGCACATTAAGGTTATCGTGAAAAGGAACCCAAAATGGTCATGAAAACTGATATAACATTTAGGTCCTTATTCAATATACACTGCCAGACAAAAAAACTCGGACACTTGAATTTTTTGTGATTACCTACAATTGGTCGAACTTTTGTAAAAAATATTCCAAAAAGTAAAACATTAACGGATTCATTAATAACAGCAAACATAACTTTATTCTAAAACATGTGGACACAGAAAAAAGTAAAAAAAAAAGTTATACCACTAAACTAACACTTCAAAAGGCCGCGGGTTGGGGCGAGAGGGCTGATAAAACCACACAACGTCTCGCCGTTTGGAAGATCAGTAGCCATCGCAAGTCCCCTTCTAGTGACTAAAGACGGGAACAAGTATACGAAGAAAGTCAAAGGCTACGGCGATGGCTTACACGGGAAGCTGTCGAGCGTTCACGAAATGCTGCGTCACAAGAATAGGGTGGCACGTCACGATCTTAAGGACACTAAGTGGGTTCCAGGTACGAGATTTGATATGGCTTTATAACCCCCGAAAAAGGAAAAGTAGTTGCCCGAAGTTGTTACCAGACTGGGAAGGTCCACATAGTGTCGTGACGAGGATCAGGGTGTCGTTCATAGGATACGACAAGGGCCAAAGACGAAAAGAAGATTATTTATTTAGGCCGCCTCATGAAGTAAAACAGTGGCACCGCTGACATTTCTGATCGGGACGATTAGCACTAAGAACGGGGCAGTGTTACGAAATAAACCCATACGCCGCCCCGGTTCGACGCCTATGGGTTTTCTAGTATGTACGGCGGACCGGTAAATCATCATCACCGACGGCGGCCCTCGAATAAAGAAAAGCCTGGAAGCGGAACTCGCGGTTGGCACGCTAGGACAATCTAAATCGCGAAATTTAAGAAAGGAGCGCGTGGCTGTTTAAATAGGGTCCACGTCCAGCGTCCACTCAATGGGAGAATTTGCGTCTGGTCAAATCCATTCCAGTTTAATTGGAATTATTCTGTACATAATCGCTGAATTCGTCGTGTAAATTAGTACTACTCAGAGATCAATTGTTGAGTTTTACCCACGCTTATTTTAAGATCCGAGAAACGTAATTTTAACCCTTACACAGTGCGATTAAAAAAGTCACAGATAATCCGCGGTGTGAACAATCCGAGATACAAACTGTAGCGGGAAAGAGAAAAAGGGGCTGCAAAAAGTTTAGATACGTAAAATCCTAGATATAAAACTTCCAGGAGTCGAAAGGGTTTACGCAAAAGCTCCATATTCAATAAAATAAGCGTTTAAGCTTGAGGAGGCAATATTTCTGTGGAGACATAAAGCCAGTGTCAAACCAGAAAGGAATCTCATTAATAAAAAAAAAAATAATACATTTGCATAATTTCCACAAGGTAAAAACCAGAAGTATTACTATCTTTATCGTTGTTAACAAATCAAATTACGTAACATTTCTAAAGTTATACGTCAAAAGCATATCAATGTTGCTTGGTAGTTTAATAGAAAATTCTCGCCGACAGTATATGACCAGTTTGCACCGAAGTCAATTTGCACCTAAACAAGCTTGTATATACATTGTACCCAGTTCATTTACATTCAGTAAGTTTGCTCCCACAGCAATTTGTTTTGAAGATGTCTTCTCCATGCAGAATTTATTAATTTTTATCTCCCGAACGTAGGCTATGAAAGTATTGTAATCGAATCCATCGGGAGAGTTTCATGACCACTAGAGTACGAAAAAATAGGGTTCTCGTTTCCGTCTGTCTATCTGCCTTTTGTCCGTGTCTAAGTCGATTCTTATTGAATAGATACCTAATCTCCGAAATTACGTGACCGATTTTTGTCATATTTTTTACGGATATTAGAAATATCGTGTACATGGTAAAACGCTGACCAAAATTTGTCTAATCATCCCCACCACCAATGATATGACGTCATATTCAACTTTTACAATAGTAAATGTTATTTAAATTAAATATAATAACACACTCCTCCATTTGTAGTCGATGAGTTTTTACCCTAGCTAGCCAGATTAAAAAAAAAAAAATTAAAATTGTATAACAACATTTTGCAATTCAAGTTTGAAACTGCAGAACCGAATGCTGTGAAATCTCGCAAATGTTTTAAGGTTATCGTAAGTAAGCATGGTAAACCGTTAATCACCCTTGCAAAAATTTCTGATATTTTAAAATTTTATAAAATAAATCCTATCTAAAATGTGCAAAATATTACAAGTTTACACTTGTTGTTTATCAATGCATTTATATATATTTTTTTAATTACCTACACAAGTTGTCAGAAAAATTAATTAATAAGGCAATTTACTTTATTAATCAAGAATTCTCTTCATTGGACTGACTGATGAGTGATGAACAATTGGTGGGTAGTGACGCTGATAGACTTCACCACTGATAAACGAATCTGAAGTATCTCTGGAATAACGGCCTTCGAAATTCCTTTTTCCGAAATTAAGAAGAACTGTTTTTCGAATATTTGTTTGTATTATATTCTCATCACCAGTACTATTTATAATAGTTGTAATAGTCCAAGCATATTGTCGTTGTTAAAAATAACGACGATCACTTCACATTTTTGCGTGTGCAAACACGGTGAAATTCTCTTGCACTCATATTGATCAATTAAATTCAGTTTTTATATCCTAATTATGTAGTTCTAAGTTAACCACTTATGCATAGCTTGTTTTTACACCATGTTACGAGAGTATTTATCTCATTTAGTTTTAGACCATAATACGTTGAATACTGGATTTAATTGTTTCTTGTTAATACTTTGAAATTACTCATAATTAGGTACAATGTTTACGCCTATAGCTCTCCAATGATTGCTCAGAACTCTCATTTTACGAATGTTAACAAGATCAACCCAAACAAAATCTAATGTGCAACTTATTATTATTAATTAGACTAGTACCTTTCTACCTATTATAAATACACCAAGTTAGACCTTGTTTTCTCCCCTGACTAACTAAGATTTGAGTTCTGAACCCACTTGAATCACCCTCTACTGCAACCAAATATTTTATAGAATCTGCTATTATTTAATACGAAATTTAAAGGATTAGCAATGTAAAAGAAAAAGATGAGAAAAAAGTTACTTTAAGCGTCGTCTATCCCGTTGATACGTTTGTCAAACAGCGATTAATAAATAAATTTGATAGTTCAAATCTATAGTTCGATCCATTTAGGCAGATAAGTTGTCCAAAAATTACGAAATCCAGAAAAAACTACAGAAAGTATCGTAAAATTCCTCATCGCTTTTTAGAGTAATTTTAACCATGGGGTACGTCTACTAAATTTTGTGTAGTACATTAATTTCAAACAATTATTTCATCAACAGTAGATTATTTTAAAAAATGCAGCCGTGTCTAAATAAGTACTTATGAACGACAATGTAGGTACAATCAATCAGTACTGCATCACGTACAAGACCCATATTTCAGTTAAATTGATTACAATGCGTAGTAAATATGGCTCTGACCATTACCAATCGGATGTGTAACTTATTATATTACGGCCCACAAACTTAGATTCTCTCAAATTTTAGGCTGTTAAATTTTATTAAATAGGATTGTATAGATAAATATTTTTGAAATGACGCCATCTCGTTGGTTGTGGGGATGATTGTCCAAATTTTCGTTAGCATTTTACCATCTACATGATAGTCCTAATATACTTACAAAATTTGACAATAATCGGTCCGGTAATTTCGGAAAGTGTCTGTCTAATAAAAATCGATACAGATGGACAGACGACAGACAAGCGGAACCGGGAGACCACTTTTTTCGTACTCTAGAAGTCATGAAACGTCGAGACTGTTGTCTTAATGTTTTAAAGTGGCAAGTCGCCCGATGGACCCGATTTCTAAACTTCCTTAGCTTATGCTCAGAAAATAAAAAGTTGGAAATGCCACCGGGGATCAAACCCGGTATCTTTCATCTGCAAAGCGAGTGCTTTACCTCTACGCAACATGCCACGCTTGCGTAGCGTCGTATTGCGAATTCAAAAAGAAAACAACATACTTGTAAATATTCTGATAAAAAAAAAAGTTAAAAACCTGTCGTTTTCGTTTGTAAGGATGTAATTTTCATATTTTCTTAATTTTAATATTACGCACAACTAACGTCTAAAACAAGCCATCACTTACCGTTACCATTAACGCTGGAATTTGACACAACGTTATGTTGTAATTCATTCGAGTTTTTTGGTGACGTTACTTCCACCTTAACTACCGGCGAAACACTAGTAGTTATTTCCGCGACTTGACAAGGATTCGCCCCGGGTTCTTTTTTTACACTTACTCCAGTCCATTCGATCGGATTGGTTCGAGAACACCCGTTACCGTTTTCAGAAAACTTTTTCGGAGAAGAATCGATTTGGCAATTGCACGATTTCTGCAGTTTTAAATTACAACACTTTTCATCACACCGTTTCTCTTGCACTTGGAGTTTCTTGGGACTCACTGGGTAGTCGGGTTGTTGGATAATGATGTTCGAGTTGAAGCCTTTTGCAAAAAGTTCCAACTGCGTCACTGGAACCGGAGAATATGGTGAGCCTGGGGGAGGCGTTGGTGCACCAAACGTGTAGCCCGCTGACGAAAAAAGCGAATCTGTAAATAAAACGACATACATTGATATTTTTTTACAGAAACAAAATTAAATATTTACTGCTACTGATAAAATGGTTCATTTTAATTTTCTATACATTCCGCATTTTTAATGTCATATATGTATTAGACACTTCCTATTAGATATAGAGACATTTGTATTTCTTAAACACAACTCGTTTCGTTAGAACATAAAAGTAAAAGTGTTTGCAGTTTTTTTTTTATTTCTTTCTGCGGGTAAAATGCTACAGTTACCATTGCAGTCAGGTAATCCCATTTTGATTTAAATTTTCCGTGCATTTTTTTTTGTCTATGGTAATTCTGAAACTTCTGGATTTATTAAATAAAAGAAGGATACTGTTATTGATATTGATATTGGTAAGGATTAAACTAACTGCATCGACATTATAGAACAAATGATTCAACCTATCAACAAAAAGGAAAGACTTCATATATTTTGACCCCTGGAAATTCCTGGATTTTGCTGAAAACGTAATAGTAATCTGTACTACAATATAACATTATACTATCTACCACTGTAATAACCATGAAATCGTACTATGTGCTTTATATTCACAACCTAAACAAAACGTATAAAACGTAAATCATTTCTAAAAATACATGACAATAGATTGCGTATGCACAAATACCAATACATTTGTCTGTATAAAATCAATGAACATTGATTTAACAGCTCGTTTTTTTTTTGCTGGCACGGACAGTAAGAAAAAGGTTACGATGGTTAAAAGTTTACAAGTTTAACACATTACATCCACCATTCAGAATAATATTTATAAATAGAATATTGGGTTACTTGAAAATATTCGTTATCATACAAACAGTATTATTAGACAACCAACAATTTTTCAGTAAAGCGGTAAACTAAAAATTTTTAAATTATGTTAATTATTGCTATTATTATTATTGTCTGAAAAGTTCCGCTACATTTCGAGGTTTTTTTGTTCCACCGCCGCTAGGTCGCTCTTTGGTCAAATTGCCATTAAGTCTTAGCAACCGCACTAATATGCATGCTTATAACTTTTTTTGGGAATAAGCATGGAAGTATATTAATGAACATTTTTGCCACAGATCTTAGATTATATAGAGTATAACTAAATTGAAGGACAACCTATGCTCTCTAAATGCATACTGAATGAAATCTCAACTTCCAAATATACAACAAATGTTTGGATACTTAAACTTTTATCGATCGGAATTGCAACATCGATAGTTTTACTATCGAAAAAATAAAAGCCAAGAGAAGCACTGTATGGTTATCATGGTAAATGTCTATTTTCATATTTTTTAGTGTAAAATGAAGTTATAGGTCTTTTTGTAATAAGAAATAATCAATTTTTAGTGAAGATAAATATCTTCACATATGTATATTCGATGTAACGCTAAACATAATGTTAACATCTCTTCAAAGCTTCAGAAAATTAAGTGAGTCATTTTTCAAATGCCCAATAAAATAAATCAATCCATATTTTTATTTTGAGACATCTAGTATAAACGGTCCTAAAAAACAGAATGATATTTTATTAATGGAGCACAAAAAACAGTTTAGTTGAGTTTAGAACATATGTTGTAAAATTTATTTAATAATAAATATATGTTAATCATCATGAATGGAAGTCCAAGGGACACAATTTTCTTTTCTAATCTTTCGTTTTAAATTGTATACTTCGTAATTGACAACAGATAATGGTAATGCTGCTAATGGCCTATTTAAAATGCACGTGTATTTTGATTTACTGGCGGCCGGATAAGAAAAATATTTAAAAACCGATTAAATATCCAAAATTGAAGGTGATGAATATATCAAGAATATAGTGTGATAGGCTTAATCCTATGTTCAGTTTAAAAAAACCACATCAATGAATTGCAAGTATGTAACCATATTACATCAAATATCTACACTTGATTTTGTAGAACAAAAAATTCGAAAGTACATATGTAGTTCGAATGAAGTTAATGAAGAGATTTGGTTTTATTCTCCATAGCATAAGATATTTAATTTCTTTACTTCAGTTAAAATATAATTTGTGCTATTTCTTTAGTTGTGTGTGTATTTTTTTTTAATCAAGGAGCCTTGCCTAACATTGGATGCATGATGTGTGTTTTTTAAAACTGAACATAGGGATTAAGCCCATACTTTACCATGTTTAGAGTAAAAAAATGTTCTGGTATTAAAATCTTCAGAAATCAAACTCAGAGGAATTTTGTTTCAAATTCCTTTCAATTTTGATTTAAAAATGTGATTTTTAGAGAATATGTTTTCAATGGTTTGTGGGTTGGTATTACGCCAACTTGTATTTATAAGTCATAACTGCCATTCGCGTCGGGCAAGATCAAAGAATGTTTGGTACAGACGAAGAATATACTGCTATCAGGGGCGGCTTGTCCTATGAGGCAGGTGAGGCAGTGCCTCACCAATGAATTTTACGCCTTATTAGGATTTTTATTATTTTATACGGACACATTTCGGCCAATAATTTGTGTCTTTTTTCTAAAATTTTAAAAATAAATATAGAAAATTATATTCTTATTTTTATCTCGGTAGGTACTCGTTGCTCCCTTAATTAAACAGCGCGCTTAAACACTCGACACAACATGTATTTTGTGACGCGAATGAGGCCGACTCGAAGCTTGCCTCTACAGCATATATAGAAATCATGTCGTTAATAGGCAAGCAACCTGCAATACACTTATAAGCGGTATGAGTTGAAAAAAGACAAAATTGAGGCTAGCCTCATTTCCGTGCTTGCAAAAGAGATGGACAACTATAATATTTGCGCGCGGGGAACGTGCGATTGCAATGCAGTCTGCATTCGCAGGAGTATTCAAAATTAGGCCGTTGATTGTTTTGCCACAAATCTGTGTGGGTATAAATTGATTCAAAATTTCGGTAACAGAATTTTGTCTTAAAAGTGCCTACGTTTGCGTGGGTCGCGTTAGTGCTTTGTGCTTGTCATAATTTGATTTCGGTAATCGTTATTTAAGATTACGAGTAAATCGGAATTTTTCTCTACTAACGTTAAATGACAATGGCAGTTCTGTTTTTTCTACTTTCACGTATGATGATAAATTGTATGTAGTTAAGGAATTAAAACCGCCGGTTCCTGATTTGAGTAAATCGTTAATTGATCCATAAAAAAAAATTTAAAATAAATCCGTATTTATATTTTATATTTTTTTCATTTTGTTTTTTGTTATAAATCAAATTAGCTTTATTTTATGTTGTATTTGATCTTTTTCGATATGTTTCCTTTAAAGTTTATTTTAATTTTGTTTTTTGTTAGAAGTTATATTAGTTTTTTCTGACCACGCTTCCCTTTCCTTTTGTCCTGTCATTCTCATCCTTTCCTTGCAAGACCTCCTTACACCTTCACGTTGGTTCTTTGTGGACAGTTAAATGAGTTTACAAATTTGTTTATTTGACTAAATAGAAAATATTTAAGTAAACTTGATTTATTTATATTTTAGAGCGTTTTGTGCTGTGCCTCATCAATTTTTCAAGTCATGAGCCGCCCCTGACTGCTATATCACCTGAGACCATTGCCTACACAAATGTAGCAATTGATAAATTTGTTGCTACCAAAATCAAACAATTTGTTGCTACCAAAATCAAAGTTGTTGTTTTGACTATTACAAGTTTGAAACCTTAGGACCTTGTCAGTCGTTTGTTAAGTTGCTTATTTTCTGTCTATTACATACAGAACATAAACATTCTGTTGTTTCTTATAGCAATGCACGTTTTAATGTATATAAATTTAAAGAAAGAACTTCCTTCGTATTTTAAATATTGTTTTGAATTTTTTATATGCTATTCACAATGGCGTTACCGAAATTTTGAGAAAAAAGGCTTTGCAAAGCAGTTTTCTGGCCATAATAATAATAAAAGGTGGATGAACATTTACTTGGTCTTAGTACCCGTAATGATAGAAGTCTTGCTTGAATGCCGGTCATTTCCGTCAGTGGTGGGTCTTAATACTTTTATTTTGGAGGTATTATTACTCTGATTAATTAAACATCGTGCTAATATGAGGACTAAAAACTTTGAAACTTGTTGAAACATTTATATGCATCGATTAAAAAAATTATACAACAGTAACTAACATTGAAAAATGATATCGTTAAACATAAATAATAGAAATACAATTGTATGCTCTTATGTTAAAAAATCCGTTATCGGAATTCAATGTATAAAGCGAGAAATTTACGCCTTCGATTTTATTAGCTGTATATATTTACTAATCATTGTACGCGAAGTTATGTCTTCTTTTTTGCGCTATAAACAAGATCTATTTATTTATTCATGTATTCTAAGTTCCTAGGCATATTGCAGGTCAGCTGAGTTCGTCATTAGCGGATAACTGATCCATTGGTGTGTTGATAAAAATATATACTGATGGTATTGAACAATCTTAATCAAGCGCTAAAAAGAATAACAATTTGAAAACAAACAACACATCTGATCTGACACATCACTCAAATAAGTTTCAAATATGTACTAAAGTTCAAAATTAAAAAAACAATCTTCCTTAAGATAATTATCTGAGTGGGTTCGCTATAAACTAGTTTATTTTCTGCTTATGTTCAAAAAACGTTCAGTCTCGACGCAATGTACATTTTTTTTTATTACTTTAAGTTTTTAGTATTCCCTTTGTGTTCCTTACAACAGTTAATTTATGATTAAGACGGCTAATTAATATTATTATTTATTATTATTGTTGACATCTTTCCCAACGGGGTAGACCCAATTACAGGGAAAGGAAAAAAAAACAAAAAACAAAACATTATAGGAATTTTGTGTTGCTGAATGTTAAAAATTTAGCTAGAATAAAATTAAAATAAATAATATTCCACAGATCAAATTTGACCAAATTACTATAAAGCAAATTGTGAATCTGCAAGAAAGACACTAATACGAAATAATTACCAATTGATACGTATGCCTTATATGCCATATTCCTGGATTATCACATTTTGGATAACAGAAA